GCACGCACGCACGCACGCACACACACACACACACACACACACACACACACACACACACACCTTGCACACTCAGATATATAGTGAATGACCCAGGAGGAATGTAGAAAGAGGGGGGAAAGAATGAGGCAATGTACTGGAATTTCTTTGTCGTTTCCTCCCATCCGAGGTCCAGTACATTCCCCACCTCCCCAATTGTCTCTAAACAGCTCACATGAACACGCTTCATTAACCACACATTCCTACACTGTACATTCGAAATTAATCGTCCCACAGGGGGAGTGATTTTAAAAAAGCTTTCTCCCGTCATTCCTTAGATACTGCAAATAGATGTTAGACATCAGCTGTCTTTTTTTTCCTGTGCTGTCCTCCCAAATGTGCCAAGAGCATACCGTATTTACTGTGTTAACGCCAAAACGTATGGGAGTGGTGTGTCTGTCATTTCACTCCTGCATGGAAATTGTAGGATAAAACTAGTTTATGAGAAATGCATGGGGTCTCGAAACTCTTTCTGTCAAGATGACAACATAACATTACTATTTTCTACTGTCAGAAACTGTTTGCCTCCCATATAGATTAAATGCTTAACATGTTTGGAAGTCATGTGCAGCGCACTGTTGGGACTTTCAGGGGCAACACTGCGAGTCACTTGCATGATTAGCTTGGCACTGCTTTAACACGGGATGCCCCTCCTAACACACCCCACCCAATTTTTAATTGTGCTCGGGACCAGCAGTGGCTGGGTACTACAGTATATGGGAGCCTGACCAGGAATCAAATCCACACAATGTGTGTGAAAGGCGGCACCATATGCAGGTCACATGCATCAGAATCTGTTTAAAACAAAATGCCACAGACGCGGTTCTTATACATGTAGATACTGTAGTGGCATCCCAACTGTTCCCCAGTTGACTTTGGGTACACCAGGTCGTCAGAAACTGCTTTCTATATAACGTTAAAGGGAACACTGACACAAAGTAAAGCTCATCCATCCATCTATCCATCCATTTTCTGATCCGCTTATCCTCACAAGCGTTGTGGGGCGTGCTGCAGCCTATCCCAGCTGTCTTCGGGCAGTAGGCAGGGGACACCCTGAACCGGTTGCCAGCCAATCGCAGGGCACGCATAGACGAACCATCCGCGCTCACATTCACAACTTGAGACAATTTAGAGTGTTACGTTAACCTGCCACGCATGTTTTTGGAATGTGGGAGGAAACCGGAGTACTCGGAGAAAACCCACGCAGGCACGGGGAGAACATGCAAACTCCACACAGGAAGGCCGGAGCCAGAATCGAACCCTGTAACTCTGCACTGTGAGGCTGACGCGCTAACCAGTCGACCACCGGACCGACTAAAGCTCATTTAAATATTAAATATTCGGAACTATAATATGTTGTTTGCACCTTCAGGGTAGTCTAAACAAGGTATTCAGATTAATATTGTGTTTGTGGAATAAGAGTTAAATCCACATGTAACAAGGACAGAAAAAAACTTGGAAATACTTACTGTCCTGCATTATAATGAGACAAAATCTGTCAAATGATAAATACCTGACAGGTATTTTAACTATACCCCCCATTATCAAAGGGTGGACATTTTGTTTTTATGTGTTCACCGACTTCAATAATTAATATGGCACTGCCTCTTTTATTCATTTGAACTCCCGCCTTTGACTCTCCCCTTTTTCTCTTGATGTTCATGGGGAGGTCAGCATCTTTTGAGCTGGAGAAATGTTTGTTTTCATTTACAAGTTTCAGGGCGGCCTAGTGGTCCAGTAGTTAGCGCGTCGACCTCACAGTGCAGAGGTATCGGATTGAATCCCAGCTCCGACCTCCTTGTGTGAAGTTAGCATGTTCTCCCGGGCCTGCGTGGGTTTTATCTGGGTACTCCGATTTCCTCCCACATTCCAAAAACATGCATGGCAGGTTAATGGAACACTCGAAATTGTCCTTATATGTGAGTGTGAGGATAAATGGTTGTTCGTCTCTGTGTGCACTGCGATTGGCTTGCAACCAGTTCAGGGTGTCCCCACCTACTGCCCAAAGACAGCTGGGATAGGTTCCAGCACCCCCCTTGTTAGCATAAAGCGGATCGGAAAATGAATGAATGAATTTACAAGTTTCAATTGAATACATTGCTGTGCCATATAATTTGTGTCGGGGCATGCCGTATCACTCTAATTGATGGGAGGACATTGTTTTCTGCTGTTTTCGTCAGGCTTTGTGATTGAGACCATTAAAGGCAACATCACAAGAAATCCTGCTGTGCGTCATCCATATTCTTAAACACTACACAGTCAGACACCACCGATTACACTCAGGTAACAACCAATCATGGCTGAGTTTCAGAAAACAGGTGAGCCGTGATTGGTTGTGACCCGAGCCCTGAGCAACTGTGATGTCATTTTTAGTCTATCGCAATTCTATTGTCAATTGAGAGGACCAGGTATGACCCAAAATGCATTGCAATGTCAACAAATATAGGTGATCTTCAATGTTCGGAGAGAAACACAACAACAATTCTTCTGAAAGGTGTCCATCCATAAAACCTTTTCATTTTTCTTTGCTAAATACTTCACATTTGGTTGTGCAGTGGTTTATTTAGCTGACTTTCATGCAACTGGCACACACTCAATTCCCATTCATTTTCAAATTATTTAGTGGTGATAAGTCCTTGGATATACCCTGCTTCTCACTTCGTCTGCCAGAGGATCCTGCTCACCCACGAGCTTGAACAAGTCAAACAGTACACAAAATAGATTGATGGATGGATGCATTTTACTGCACACCCTATTTGTCAGCGTTGTGTTTCCACTGTCCCTTACATTTTTAATTTGTCATTAAAAAAAGTAACAGTGGGATAGAAAAATAAATAAATGAGCCATTTGAATGCAGATCGTAGCTATGAGCTGGTGACTACGTCATGTCTGATTGGCAATTTTCATCTTCAAGCTACAATTCGACAAGTTCTTCACCATATTCGTATAGCATCTAGTCAGAAGTCACAGTTGCTCGCATTGCTATAACCGGACACTTTTGGCATCAAAAATGCACAGTTATCACAATATGTGGCACTTCTTTCAGTTACATTTGATGCAAACTTGCAGGGAAGGTTTCGTACTGTATATGTACACTCTTAATAATGACTTCCAGTGAAGAGTATTTAGTAAAGAGCACAGCTGCTTTGATATTTCATTTGAACCCTTTCAGGGACAGTGGTTACTACGGTGGACAGCTTATCACAGGGGCGTCAAACTCATTTTTGTCGCGGGCCACATTGAAGTGACCGTTTTCCTTGGAGGGCCGTGATGACTGTGAATGCATTTAAAGAAGTGAAGAATAATGGTTGATTCAACGATAGTTTCAGTTACTGTAATAAGGGGTTTGGTAACAAGAAAATGCTTACAGTATCTCTCATATTTATTACATATGAGAAGTTGAAATTTTAGTCCAGATTCTAGCAATCATGGTAGAAGTTGACATGTTTGATTTGTTTTCGTGGGCTACATAAAATGATGTGGCGGGCCAGATCTGGCCCCCGGGCCTTGCATTTGACACCTGTGGCTTATCAGGTTACAGGTTATCATTATTTGTGCATGACAGGGTTAAATAAAGTATGAAGAGCAAATTTGTTGGGATTTTGACCTGCATGCATCAACATGACTGCGTTCGGTGAAATTACAATTTTAATAACTGTCACTCATCTCAGGTAAAAACATAATATACATTTTCCAAGGTTGTTGTCAGTTAAATCAAAGTGATGACAACCAGGTCGAGTGTTGAATTTGTTGCAGTGAGTAAACTCTTAGCGAGAAAAAGCGAGCTGTAAGTATCTGGCAGGACTAGCGCTGCAAATATTTTGTGAGGAACTCAGTGTAACCTTGGCCCTGTCAGTATTCATTTGCCCTTACTTAGCTCCACTGAGTGGAATGAAGGACGAGAGGAAATCTCTGACACGAGATCTGACCGCGGGGTGTGAACTGACCTTGCAGTTGTGGCAGAAGTTTTCCCCATTTTTCCCAGGGGAGAGAATGATTTCCCCTGTTGGGATGAGCTGGATCCTGAGTTCCATCATTGCGCCTCGTCTTGGCTTCTGTGTTGCCGATATGCGTCCTCGACAAGGAAAATAATAATTCCCAAGACTCAAGTCTCCAAATCTTCAACCCAAGCGGAGATGCTATCAAACCACCATCGCAGGAGATGGCTGAGAAAAAAACAGCAACGGTGATCTGTCAACCTGCCTCATTCAAGAAGAAAAATATTTTATTCAAGACAGAATTTTGAGAGGAATAGAAATGATGTCTAGAAAGTGTCAGTATTAAGGCAGAGATTCAAAAATGGCTTGTTACCTTCTGAACAGCGGAGAGTCGCACTGAGGCCAGCCTCCCTTCGCATGCAGACAGAGGATGTGAGCACTCGGGCTGAGGGAGCAATAGGGAGGATGTGGAGCTCGGGCTTGGCTCAAGATGAACGTCACATGCAGAGGATGTGAGTCTTACTGGAGTTTGGCTGTGTATGGGAAGAGAGAAGTTTGTGCAGTGAAGAAATACGTTTGAGACACTGCAGGAATCAAGCTTTAAAGGTGACAGGAAAAAATATGAGGCCAGAGTAGCGGGGGAAGGGAGTTCATCCTATTTCCTCTTGGCTTCTTTCGGGTAATTAATGGGTCTGCTCATACACACGCGCACGCACACACACACACACACACACACACACACACACACACAGACAGACGCGTCAAGGAACACATACTCAGTCTACTGGGCGGGTATTGGGAATGCCTATGGCAGGATACTAATTCAAGAGAAAGCACTGTCCTAAGACCATGCGTGTGTGTGTGTGTGTGTGTGTGTGTGTGTGTGTGTGTGTGTGTGTGTGTGTGTGTGTGTGTGTGTGTGTGTGTGTGTGTGTGTGTGTGTGTGTGTGGGTGTGGGTGTGTGTGTGTGTGTGTGTGTGTGTGTGTGTGTGTGTGTGTGTGTGTGTGTCTGTGTGTGTGTGTGTCTGTGTGTGTGTGTGTGTGTGTCAAATAAAGGACTTGTGCTCTGATAGCAGTGTGCTTCCTGAGCCTGACAAGAAGTCTTATAGGGCCTTGACACAAAAACACACACTGACATGCACACATCAGTGGTATGAAGGGAGTTTCATGGGCGGAGTACTACAGTCATAAGTTGACAAGAGAATATAAACAGATTGTCGCTTTTAAATAAACTTCACCGAACTTGAACTTCCCGAGTCGTCTGCGGGATACGTCCACCCACAATGCACACTCGCTAACGTATGGTGCAGAGATTTCATCCTGTCAAAATCACTTACCGCACCAATTACCACCTGTCAGGTTTTCAACAGGCAACTTGTAACTGTTTTGGAATGCATTTTGAATGAAAATAAGCTGACACCACATATATACCCTTCTACATACAATTATATCCATACACACCCCACATACCCAAATTTCTTCCTGATAAATAAATAAAAGTAGTAGTTTACTTATTTCTTATTTCCCAGATGGCTTTCCACCTACTTGTCCAGCAGCTAGGTAAAATAGCACCTTAGTAGCTTAATCTTCTCAAAACTTCTTGTCTTGACTTCCATTTTCCTCATATAATAAGAAACATTAATTCATTCATTCATTTTCCAATCCGCTTATCCTCAAAAGGGTCGCAGTGGGTGCTGGAACCTATCCCAGCCGTCTTCGGGCAGTAGGCGGTGGACACCCTGAACCGGTTGCCAGCCAATCGCAGGGCACACAGAGACAAACAACCATCCGTGCTCACACTCACACCTAGGGACAATTTTTTGAGTGTTCAATCAGCCTGCCATGCATGTTTTTTTGGAATGTGGGGGGGAAACCGGAGTACCCGGAGAAAACCCATGCAAGTCCGGGGAGAACATGCAAACTCCACACAGGGAAGCCTCCATTTTGCACGCCCTCATTTGGCCCGCCCAGAGGCAGGCCAAATGAGGGCATGCAAAATGTATTTATTTTTTTTGGATTTTATTTGCTTTTTCCTCATGAAGTGGCATGAGCTTCTATTACGAGCACCCCTAATGATAATGTCTGACAATAGAAGAGGGAGCCATGTGGGATCTGTAAGAAAGTCTCTTGTGTCGCAGTTTGTATGGGGAGAAAATGAAAGTGAATCTTTTCCGTCCCTGGTTTTCTCATCACGAGACTCAGATACAAAGTAGCCCAACTTACCTGCTATTTTCAACTGAGATCTTGTGAAGTTTCCAGTGCACGACGTCTATTTCCAGATGTGGAAATGTGTTACGCAACCGCAAACTGCACGACGCTTCATGCGGCTGGTGAGGGGAAATAACACTTAGACACATCCTTCGACCTCTGACCCTGACTGGAGGCATTCCTGACAACCTGGCATCAACAGGAAACCTGTGGCCTTGACACACACGAGCACACACACACACACACACACACACACACACACACGCAGGCGCGCACTTGTGCTGCCTTGAAGCAGTTGTGTGTCACTGCCCAGGTCTATTTTTAAATATAACAGCTAGTCTGAGGTGATTGACTTCCAAGAAAAACACACTCGTTGCAAAAGAGAGTGAGAGTAAATTCAAGTGATTTTCCACAAAATCAAACTAAAAGTACATGTTGCATGTATGTCGGTTGTCCCACGTTAAAAAATGTCGATGAACAGCTAAATCATAATCATGTCAGAAGCAGTCAATCAGGTGTCACCAAACTTCTTGAAACTGAGAAATACTGTACTTTTTGGGTACTGATTAACGTGTAGGCCTATCAGTTTGATACACACTTCTTAAGTAACAAATGTGCCCAAATTATTTGGGGATGAATCATCTTTTCAATGTTGTTTTGGTTGCAAGCTTTTCTCCATTAACGCTTTGATTTGGTCAAATGCTACAATGACTACCTCTTGAACGATCCAATTTTTTTCCTGTTTAATTTTTTTCTTCTTGCATTATCAGTATGAAATGTTTGTATTATTTATGCAAGTGTGTTTTAAAAAGAATAGCAAACAAAGAAAAAGATCTGATGCAACTTTCTGCAAGTGGAGTATTTATTTTTTATTTTTTTTATACAGAATAGTAACACAAAAAATGGACATGTGTCACTGCTGAGCAATGTTTTAGAATATTAAAGTGGTTCTGGTGGGCAACCTGGCGCCACCATTTTGGTGGTGGTCTAAATAGAACATGTAAAAGGGAACTTTTTTGTTTGTTTGTTTGTTTGTTTTTGCTATTTTTAAGTTCTAGGTAAGAATGCTATTCATTTATTTATCTATCATCCAATCAATTTCACCCTTTAAAATAAAAAATACAGTAGATATCGCCGACATCTGTCAGCCAATCAGATGACAGAGACCTCGCAGCCCTCCTCAGCCTCTGTTCTTGAGCCAGGTTGGAAGAGGTTCTGAGAAGTTAGTTCCAGCGTAATCGGCCCGCCTTCAAAAAGTGTAATGGAAAAGCGATCACTCCGGGTGGAAACAGGTTGTTTCGGGGTAGAACCAGTAAAATGGAAACTGGGCATTTGGTCCTGAAAGTAGGACAATAATTGGAAACATCCCAGCAATTCAAGAAAAATACATAATTAAGTTTTTGGAGTGGCATAGTTTGATTGAAATGCTGTGACATAATCATAAAAAGACAGGCCTTCATGCTCAAAAATACCACAGTGATGCTGAATTGAAGCAATTCTACAAGGAATAATGCACCAAAACTTCTCTAGTGATGTGTTCTTACTGCTGACGGTGGCCCAGTGAGTACTTTTTCACAAAGATTTTTTTCCCCTCCTAAATAAATAAAAGCACCATTTAAAAACAGCATTTCAATGTTAACTTTGTCTCATACTTCCATATGTTTTATGATCTTAAACATTTACATTGAGAAAATATGCAGAAAAAAGGCAGATTGGCCCGATGGAATGATAATTTGGTAGGCAGGGGAGGTTGGTGGTGATCCAGTGAATTCTGTTCTGTACGTTTGCAGTGGAGTCCTTGTAATCAGATGCCACATGCACACTCAGCTCTCTAGTCAGAGCTGGGCGGAGAAAATCTCACAAATGTCACCCGAAAATAACCGTGGCTATTTATATTGAGTGTATCTGCAGCAGAGGAAGTTCAGAATATTTCACTGACGTTTTCTTTCTTCAGTCGGACACTTGACAACCCTTGTGAAGCATGCCGCAAGAATTTCCACAGGAAGTCAATGAGGATGTCGATTAGATTACTTCGAGCCTCAAGCCACCCTACGAGGGAAATTGAAATCAAAGTTGTGACGCTTATGTTATGGCCTCATAAAGCCCACTCAACTCCCGCTGGCATACAGTATACTGTACAATAGTGGGGATGGTGCGAGTGTGACTGTCCAGTCAAGATTAGGTGAACCTTGCTGCCCTCTTCAGGATTCATGTGACCACAAGCTGTGAACCGCCCCGCCTCCCCAAAGGGGTGTGCGCACTTGTACAATCACATTTTCTATTTTTCCTTCCACTCGCGAAAAGATTTAACTTGCTTCAATGATTTGTACACATTAGAGGTCGCATTAATGGTGGGAAGTTTTGAAATAATTTATCTTGGTGTTATTCTAACACAAAACAGCACAAAACCCTTGAATTTGAAAAAGGGGTGAGTTGTCTTTATACATCCACTGAACCTACTCACCTTGTAACCAACACCCCTTCCTATCGAGGCATTGATCAGCCACAAGTGCCTCTTGCATAATATAGTCATGATCATGTCCAACACATTATTTATACTGATCTAAATAAATCAAATACTAGTCTTCTGTGTTGTTGTAATTGATTTGGTTTCTATTGTTTAAAATCGCTTAACCGGCAGATTTGCAGAATGTGCAAATCAACCTGAAAATCGATCGTAGTGACAGATACTATTGATTTTTTCGGTCACAAAAGGGCTCCGTTTTCTGAGTTTGGTCATGTGACATTCACAAGCGGAGCCATGATTGGTTGCTACCCGAGCCCTGAGCTACTGTAATACAGTATCATTTAGTCGACAGCAAGTGTCAAAATGTCTACCCGTTGATGTTTAATCAAAATGCCGTGGTTAGACTAGTGGAGACACAATAGAACACATTCTTGTGAACGGACTTTCACTTATACAGTACAGTGATCCCTCACTTATCGTGGTTAATGGGGACCCAGACCCTGACGCGAAGTGAAAAATCGTGAAGTAGGGTTTGCCCCGTCAAGGAATTTTTGTGTAAGGGTTTGTGGGTACCAGCATTCTTTTTAAATATGTAAACAGTATTTATACTTTACATATTTGAGACAAAGACTATAGCAGTCCACATATTTACTTAAATCTTTAATTATAAAACCTTATACCGTAATTAACATTCATCAGCATTGCCTTCTGAGAGAAGCGAAGAGACTTGGGCTGGTGGCATAGAAGGCGTCCTCATTTGACGCTCTGACGTTGTAGCCACTGTTAGCCTCCAGCTAGCTCCTGGCCAGCTATCCCTCTCGCAGCCAATGTGTTAATGAGAAGACAGTTAATCGGTATTG